TGATAAGTAACACTTGACCACCAATGCATTAAAGAAAATAGGTTTTTGGAATAGATCTTAAAAAAAGTTATTGAAACTGGCTAGTATGGTTTTTGTCTTCTTAGTTTCAGTTGTTTCTAGACCAAACTGAACCCAACAACCAAATATCTCGAAGAACCGATAATTGATATTCATATATTCCTAGCCATATTTGGTCTAATTTAGTCCTATGGTTTTCGTTGTTTGAACCAAGTTTTGCGAAACCCTAATTGGTGGGAGAGCGTTTTTTTAATAATGTACAACAGAGATGCATAAGACCCGGTTTTTCGAGCCTTCCAATCCTGTTTTAAGCAATCAAAAAAAATCCTAGGCATTTTTTCAGGCCCATGTGGGGTTGGGCTTCGGGTGTAAAAAGAGACTCGATAAAATTGTTTTCCACTGAGGTTTTCCGGCCTTGACATGGGTTTTCAGGTTTTATCGAGCTTTAAATGCGTTGGTTTGTCCAAGTCATGGTTCGGGATTTCTGGGCAGGCTTCAGATTTAGGATATTTTCTTAATCTCTAGTCTACAATGTCAAGAATTAAAATAACCAATCCATGGTTCAAAGAATAACTTTCTCTTCCTATTTTTTATTTCTAGTATTTCTCGATATAATTGCACAATCATGTTTACATATTCTTTAATTATTTGTTGATTGATTAATTCTATAACGAAGTTCAAGCATTACGTATAATGTATACACGTGTGTATGAGTGTGGAAATATATAAAATTGGGCCCATTGTTTGTTTCCGAGTGAACCTAGCTATCGATTCCCATCACGCATCATATATTCCTCTGCAAACCAATCAAAACCGCAAATGCTTTCAAAAACCGAGTCTTAACTTATTGTCATGTAACATGTCAACCTCTATCATATGCATTCGATTGATTTGTCGATCTTGAAATTAATTTACTCCGCGACTTCTTTCTATCGTCATTTTTAATTTCAAAAGTTGTCATTCACGAACTCAAACTTCAAACAAACGTTTCTTTTCCACGGAACGTTATATTTCGTAGAACAAGATCATATATTGCCCATTATATCTCAAGATTCTAACTCATTTGACTTTTGAAACTCAAAAGTAACTCAAATCAAGCATACAATGATCATGCAATTAGATGATAGTTCAAGGGGGTAAAGTGAAACTTTAAAGGGTCCAATTTCCTTCACTTGAAATTTTCAATAGCCCCCCTCCCTTTCACTATCAAAACTAATATTGGCCGGTTTCACACTTCAAAAATTCATGTGGCCTTAAAATGGCTTAATGGTTCCAAGTTGTTTAGACAACTATATATATCACTGGTGGAGACGCATCCATTCATACTCTTTTGTGAATTTCATTATCAAAAAAGTCATCTTAATAAGACCTGATTATTATATTAGATGTCTTAATTAAATTAACGATTGGAGAAGCATCAAGGTTGTTTCTATTTATTCATCTATGAATAATAAATTTGTATACAAAGGACAAGATATCTAGACGTTAAATGAGGTATCAGATGGACCACAAAAGTATAATCGATGCACATTGAATAAGCGGATTACATGATGTGATGAGATCACACATTCACTGCATTGAATATATAATTGACATTTGAAAGTCAAGTTAATAAGTGTTATTGTGCATTGGTCTTATTACGACACCGAACTCTTATATCAATCATCTAGCGGGACACTTTCGTACCTTATTTAACCTATCACACGATGCTACCCGGGGAGGTACTAGTTACAAACCCTTTTTGCACAAAAATGAAATTACGATTTATGCATCAATTTTAGTTAGATGTAAAATAATGAAGTTTAACAAGTTTGAAGTTTTAGAATGGGAAAATTGCACCAAAATGAAACCAACTTTCACCTAATTCCTATTTAGGGAACCAACTTTTATAATAGTCATTTCGGGGAACCAACTTGTACCTGATTCCTATTTTGGGGAACCAATTTTCAAAATCGTCATTTTGGGTAACCAACTTGCAAAATAATTATACAAAAATAACTAAAATTCGTTTTTTTTTTCCAAAAATTAATACAATAAAATCTATTTTTCATTTTAAATCTCGTTTTTTTAATTCAGATATCAAATTGAACATTTAAAAAAAAATCCAAATTACCACAATAAAAATTATTTTTTACTAATGCAAAAAAAAAAAAATTTAATAGAAAAAAAATTAATTGATACGGATTGGTTATATATAAAAATCTTGAATGTGATATTTAATATTTATTTTTTATTACATTAATTAATTTTTTTCTATTAATTTGATTTTTTTTGCATTAGTAAAAAACAATTTTTATTGTGGTAATATTGGATTTTTTTTAAATGTTCAATTTGATATCTGAATTAAAAAAACGAGATTTGAAATGAAAAATATATTTTATTACATTAATTTTTGGAAAAAAAACGAATTTTAGTTATTTTTTTATAATTATTTTGCAAGTTGGTTTCCCAAAATAAGAATCAGGTGAAAGTTGGTTCCCTAAATGACGATTTTGAAAGTTGGTTCCCCAAAACAAAAATCAGGTGAAAGTTGGTTCCATTTTGATACAATTTTTTCTTTTAAAATAAAAATAGTGCAAACACAAAATGTTTCTATAATCTGCACTATTCATATATGGCTCTATGGCTAGAGCTCTAGTCCAACAAGGTAGCATTATGCATATGTTAAATCATAAGGCCCTATAACTACAAGGATGATGACTGATTGGTTTGTGCTTGGCTTTAAAGATCAAAAGTACCAGGAGGTCCCAAGTTCAAATTCAATGATAAATAAAAATCTGTTTGTGGCCACAGAGGTTCAAATGCGGTGACTTCGGACTATCTGCAAAGCAGGTGGTCGCCCTGGGATTAATTGGCTCGCATAGCGGGTTGTACATCCAGGTTAATCAAAAAAAAAAAAAATCATAAGGCCCTATGGTTACAGACTTAGTCCAACCAGTGTAGCCTTATGATGCATTGTGAAATCATAAGAGGCTTTTGTGCGTAAAAAAAATATAGACTACATCCAAAAGAAAGTATATCCTATGCTTGTGGATTGACTTTTACTAACTCTTAGTTTAACGTTTTCGTTCAAATATAATATTTTTAAGCATCTATTTAAAACAAGGAAGACGGAAAGGAATACAGAGTAATTGCATAGTAGATATAAAAATAGCACTAAAACCGTAGGACAACATGATGTGTTGGGTCATAGGCTTGCACCAGTAGCAAAAAAAAACTCGTTAGGCTTACATAAATATATTTACAGGTATAATGAAAATTTCACCGTATTGTGTTGCTTTGAACCATGAAACACTTTTCTTTCTGCTTTTTTATTTTTATAAATAACTGATATATTGTATACGATTATAAAAACTATAATTATAACAATAATCCAAATTTTTTTAAAATAAAACAAGATTATAACACTTAAAAATACGATTTGCGTTATTTTTAATTAGTTGTACATTGCATTGAAAAGTTGTATTCATGTGTGCAATTGCTATTTTTATTTTACAATTTATAAATCAAATTATTTATATGGGCTAGTATTTAGTGGGCCGGACTATTGTTTTGTTGGTCTCCAAAGTTAGGTCGATGAATTGTAAGAGAAGATATATTTCATCCATATATTTTATTGAGAAAATTACCATTTTAGTCCTTGCAGTTTATTAATAATTTCTATTTATGTCCCTGTGATCTAGGAATTGAGACTTTCATCTCTATGATTTGTAATTTAATGTTATTTTGTTCTTAGAATAATTCCTACCTATAAGTATAAAGGACTAAAATTGTAAAATATGGGACCAAAACAACAATAAGTTATAAACCAACAAAGATAAAAGAGGACAAAAACTGTAACTTTTAACAAACCAAAGGGACTAAAAACGTAATACCCTCTATTTTATTTAACTTTTTTCTTTTCCGATCTCGATCAGCCTTCAATTTTTGTGTTCTTCACGTTCTGAGGTAAGCATCAAGAACCCTAGAAAAATCGATTCATTGATTGTTCTTATTTCATACTAACCCTGTAAATATACCTCCATACATACATTCGTGTTTGGAATATATTTGTATTACATTTGTGTGATTTGGAGATGACGTCTCAAACGAAAGAACCAAGTTTAAATAAGCTCGATTATCTTTCGCCAGTGTCAAAGGTTTGTACGAAGCTTGAATCACACTTAGGGTTTGGGGATAAAGTTTTGGCGGAGTTTATTACTGAGTTGGCCGAAAGTGTGATACTGCAGATGAATTTGATAGTAGGTTGAAAGAAAACGGGGCCGAGATGCCTGATTACTTTGTTCGCACTTTGTTGACCATAATTCACGCGATTTTGCCCCCAAAACGAAGTCCAAATCTGATAAGGAGGCTAGTAAGAAGGACGATAATTACTTTGTTCGCACTTTGTGGTTGTTTCTTGTATTAATATATTAGCAGCTTGGTAAATATGGTTGTTTTTCACAATTGCTATTTTTTTTTTTGGTAAATTATGTTTTTCGTCCCTGTGTTTGAAAATTTATGCAAGTGTCTTGTGCATTTGTGTAAAACTCCAACTAAAATGGGAACTCAATAGAAAAAATGGCTAACAAGTAAAGTTGGTTGGAAAGATCGAATATTCTAGTAAATTTCCCGAACATGGGTGTAGAAAGTGGTAATTGACTCCATACAATTTTATACTATTTTCGCTAGTGTACAGGCTGAGATTGACGATACTCCACCGCCGCTGCCACCACCAACACCACCGCCATGGTTAGACATGGGGTTTCATCGATCATAAGCAACCGTAGAGAAGATTCAAGGCGCAGAGAGTCGGAGGTGGTCATCTTTGCGTAATAATTCGTAATCTTTTTGTAAATTTTCGTAATTGTTTTGCAATTACGTAATCTCTACGTTTCACATACGAAAGACGTCCCTTAAGTTAACACCGTCATTTTATAAATTCTCAGGAAACATTGTTGATACAAAATCATGAAAATTGTTACATTTTTCGTTTAATTTCCCTAACCAAGAATCGGAATGCTTTGTTCATGGCTGAAGAAATTATTAGGATCGAACTCAGTCTTAATCGTCACTAATCTCTTGAAGTTATCTTTGAAATACCTTCTTCCCCATAAACTCGCCTTCTCGAAACTCGTATTTCTGCCATTTTTATCGTTCATTCCGAGGTCAAGATCTCTGTAATTCACATAAGCTTCTCTTGGATTCATCGATACATACTGACCCATGTATTTATACAGCTTCTGAATCACACCCACATGATCACTTTCCGTTTCCGATCCAGAGTCGGTCCATGTCGTCACATATTGAATCTTGAAAAGTATGCCTTTTCTATGCGGGAATGGAATCGATGATTCCGGTATCTCGCTCATCTTTCCGCCGTATGGATTCCAAATCATGAAAGGGCTCTCTTTTTCGAACAATATCTTCCAAATCCCTTCTAATCCTGTTTCTGAGATTGGGGTCTTCACGAAATCCGATTTCGCTTTGAAGGAATTCAAGAAAGTTGGCTTTCCAGTGAGGAGGACGGAGGGTGGAGTGTTTCTTGGGTAGCCAGCGATGAACAAAACCGACTCAATCCAACTCATTTCGATACAATCCACTTTCGCTAGTCCCAGCTCCGGGAACTTGCGGTTCGTGATTTCCAAAAGCTGGTTAGCGCCACCGAGGAACAACGCGTTGTACGTTGTAGTTATGGTTCTATTAGTCGTACCATCGGTGGCTTTGATGATGACTCGGGCGAAAAGATCTTGATCGATTTCGTTACCGACTTGTTGCCATTTGTAAAGAGTCTTTGTGGCATTTTGTTCTAATGTTCGTGTAACGTCGAACACGGTGACGGTGGCGGGAACCGGGACGAGCTTCAGTTTCCACGAAACAATGGCTCCAAAACTGCCGCCACCACCACCTCGTATTGCCCAGAAGACGTCTTCCCCCATTGACTTCCTATCGAGAATTTCGCCATTGGCGTTGATGATTTTCGCATCTAAAGCGTTATCGGCCGCAATCCCGTATTTCCTCATCATGGCCCCGTACCCACCTCCCGTAACGAGCCCGCCAACGCCCAGACTCGTACAAATCCCCGCCGGAACCCCGAGAGTCTTACTCTTCTCCGCCACCCAATAGTAAACTTCACCGATTGTCGCACCGACCTCCGCCCAAACGGAGTTCCCGGCAACGTCAACGTTAACCGCACGCATTTTTGATAGATCGATAACGACGAAGGGAGGATCCATAACGGATGTGTACGAGATCCCTTCGTAATCATGGCCTCCGCTTCTGAACCGAAGATGAATCCCGAGCTTCTTGGCGCAAATCACCGCGGTTTGGATGTGGGTTTCGTTCAACGGGGTGAAGATGAGATCGGGTTTTGGAGTTGACGGTGTCGTGAATCGGAGATTAATGGCTCGGGAATGGAGAAGGGGTATGAATGCGGTGTCATTTGGCGTGAAGAAAGTATGGGGGGCTAGAATGGAAGAAATGCAGCCATGGAAGGCATCTTGAATTCCATTTGAAGATGAGAATGGAATCAGTGATAGAAGGAAGAAGAAAAGAAATCTTGAAGACAACATTTTTTTTATATGTGCATGCATGTTTTTAGACCAGTGGGTTTGTGCCATACTTGTATGTGAGTAAACTACATTTTTAGTCCCTGTAGTTTATTTAAAATTGTGAATTTCGTTCTTGTATTATTAAAATTACGGTTTCGTCTCTGTAGTTTGAAACTTAAGGTTGTTTACCAAACGATTACTTAGTAAATGCTTACGAATAAGCGTTCTTACTTACAGGACGATAAGAACCAGTGTCGTTGTATAAGAACACAAAGAGACTGAAATTCTTATACAAACTTTCTACAATGTCAAAACTACACCTTTTGATTATAAGAACCTGCTCTAAATGAGAGTTTCGACTCTCAACAGTAAATATTTACCAGACAAATGCTTGGGTAAACGATCCCTTATTTTGCTTGTTCCTAAAACAATTCATTACAATTAAGGCAATCTAAACCACAATTTCAACAAACTATAGGGACTAAAAAATAAAAATCCCGTTTCTTGTTTATATGGACTTTGGTTTGACCAAATAAATGCGATTTTATGGCCTTTTCTTCTTGTAATTTTGTAGTATTATATTCTTTTAATGAATCGTATTTCCAAGAGAACTACAAACTAATAATATTCATAAATGATATTTAAGAGTTTCTCCATAAGAATTACAAAAATAGGTATGAATAGATTTTGGAGATTTTTTTATTTTATAAATATATTAAATTTATAACGTTTTCTAGACAAAGAAAACAGGATCTAATTTTTCTATTTGGGAAAATGCTCATAATTTATTTCTACAAGAATAGATGCTTAGGATTTTTATTGATTTTCATACTGGATTAAAAACCCGTAAAATTAAAGTTTGACCTCTGAAATAGTCAATTGTACCAGTTTGACAAATAAAGTACATTTTTTAAAAAATGAAATCGATCTTTTGAGCAAAACACAAGACAATCTCTTAGCCAAGTATTTTTAACCGAATTATACAGTTTTAATTGTTTGGTTGATTTTGATAGATTTTTAAGTTTTTTTTTTTTCTTTTGTTGATTTCATGTGACTTTTTCGGTTTTTTAATTGGTGTCTCTTATATCTTCCAAAATCCCGAAGCACCTTCAAAGTTTAAGGTATGCAACTTTCATACCGGAAAAACCTGTACCTGCAAAAATCGGTTGAATAGGTATAACGGCTCCCCACCTAGGCGTCGTTCATGGGTTTTCCCTGAATAGAAGGTATGTTAATTATTTCTCTACTTCCTTTAGAGGAGAAAGATGGCAAGTTAATTTGTGAACATTATTATGATTTATGAATATTACAAAAATTTTGTAAGCTTGTTTGAGTATCAAATTAAATATTTTAATGATATAATTAATTCTACTCTACAAAATATAGAAACTATTGTTGTTAAATGTAATTATTTATGAAAATTGTTCTAAGAGCAACTACTGATAAATTGTTGAGGGTGTTCTAAGAAAAATCTGAACTTTTAGATTTTATAAGTTGTTAGTCAAAGCCGCTAAACAAGTTGGTATAAATACATCATCTTTTTTTTTTTTTGTTTTAACCGTTATTGTTTTTATAAGTGTCTTATTTTGTATTGATATGCATTTATGACTAACTGATTGTTTTACCAACAAATTACACTAAGGGGTTATTTGGTTCGTTTTCTATTAAAATTTGTATAGATAAAGTTGTTTGTATTGATAAAGTTATCTGTATGCTAACAGATAAAATGTTGTTCGGTTGTCGTACTGAATAAACGGTCTGGATATCAGAAATGACCATTTTACTCCCGATCTATATTTTTGTCCGAATAAAACAACTTTATCATAATCGACACACTACGGTCACTGTTTGACCACAAGTGTGACCTCCCTTTGTTTGATCATGGATTCTCGAAATCTCCTATTTTCTTTTCCTAGTTACATCCTCTCTGACTTCGTTGTCCAAATCCAAAGACTTGTTCTCTTTTACTTTCTATTTTTTAGAACCAGACACATTTGTGGGCTCTAAACTCCTTCCGCATTCCAATTTGAATTCATATCCATCATTACCATTTCTTTTGGCAATTTGCACCCTCTATTTCTATGTTCCAAGATTTATTGATTTGAATCCTTTGGATCAAATGTTCTTGAAATTGACAACACTTCTGAACCACCTCTTAGAACAACAAGCAAATCAAATATCCCAGTTGTTGAATCAAATTAACCCTGAATAAAAAACCCTCAAAATTGATGAATCCTGAATAAAAAAACAAATTCAACACCATAAGGGTATCCATCATCTTCTCAATACTGAAATCGCAGATGAAATTGGTGAGATTGGCGGGGGTATGGAAGAAAACAACCTAGAAATCGCAAACCTTGATCAATATTTATCCCGAAATCTTTATCCAAAAAATCAATCGATTCATTAATCCGACAAGGGGTGATGGTAGATAGGAAGGAGACGTTGGATTAGGGTGTGCGGTGAGGAGGTGGAAGTAGACAAAGAAGGATGCTTGGGAAGTTAGAAGGGTACCAATGGAATAAATGATGGAATAACCGGCTGAGTCTATATGACTGCCTTTTCCTGGCTCTCGACTCAACCAACAACTTAACAAATAAGCCCAAAACGAACATCTAGATATGGTTGAGCGAATAAGCCATACATGTTATTTAACTCATTGAGCCATTATCAAACATGCGTATAGTGTTGCTTGGAGCAACAAGTCTATTTAAAGTAGGTGCTATTCAAAACAATTATTTACCAAATATCTTGATTTAAGTCGAATGACAAGAATTTACAATTGTAACCCTCTATAAAAATAAGTATTGAATAAAATATCATTGCTTTTATAATGCTATTTATAATTAAGTGTTAGACGGTAACATATTATAATTTTTATAATTTAAAAATAGATTTTACTATATTTACAAGTATATAAATCGTTCACAATAAAAATGGTTTTAAATAAAAAAGGCAAAGAAGGTGTATCATGACATTTTACACTCATTTATATCAGTAACTTGTTAAATATATCTATAATATTAAATACATTATAATATAAAACTTATTATTATAGTACATAATTATATATCATGTATAAAATAAGGAGTAAACTATAAATTTGGTTCTGGTTTGTAAAAACAACACTTTTTATCCTTATCGTTTGACGTTATAATATGACCATCATGACTTGTAAAAACGTTCGGATTTAATCCCTTTCGTTGTCTGCCGTTAAAAGATTTTGTTAAATAATGACATTTTCGTTCTTTTATTCAACTTTTGTCTTTTACCCAATCAAAAACCATAGGGACCAAAATCATAAAATCGGTTTTGATTGGGTAAAAGATAAAAGAAAATCGATAAAAAGACGAAAATGACTCTCATCTGGTGGAATTTTTTTCACCGTCGTTAGAGGAAGGAGCAATTCATAACAAACCTTAATGATCATCTTGTAATTTCAAAACTACAGGAAAGTAAATGTTATTTTTGACAAATCATAGTGACCAAATTTATAATTTACTCTAAAAACAAACAAAGAAGGACCGGCCCAAATCTCTGTAAACGGATATGGGCTTACAAGATTGGGCTTTAGGCCCAATAACTAGGCCTTCAATATATATATATAGGTCAGTTGGTGAATAGTGCGCATATCGGGCTGGTGTTAATTGGCCCAATAGTCCTGGTTACATAAATGATGCATTGTGTCTTCTCTTCTGAATTTGTAATAAAACCGTGCAAGCATTAAATATACATTTTCAACCACGATCTTGTTTAACTACTTTTTATGAAAATTAAGAAATTGCTCTTGAACTTTAGAAAATTATGTTTTAGTCCCTTCATTTGTAAGTTTTTACATTTTATAACCCTCTATTTTGACTTAAAATCACGATGTGACCCCTCTAATTATGTTTGTAACTTGTAAGAACATATTTTAACAAGTTCTGGTTAAAAACTTACGGTTTTAACTTCACTTTGAGAAATTTATTGCATTTTAGTCCCGCCTGAATAGAGAAAACCGACTATAAAGAAAATCAAGAGGGATCAAAATTAACTATTTTTAAACAATTTGCATTTCTTGGAAGGTTAAATCAACGTACTGCTACTGCTGAATTTGTAACCAAAAATAGATTGTTCTAATTTTTCTAACTAATTCCACTAGAAGTTGAAAATACAGACGTTCCTTTTCGACTTGTTTATAATTTGACCAAGAAAACAATCTCTTTAAAAAGACCAACCGTTAAGGTGTTTGGTTGCTCATGATGTGACCAGACATATGTATATCTGCATTTTTTTGTCTCCAAATTTTTTATTGTTATTTTTATTATAATTTGTAACTTATTTTCGTTTCGTCCGTATGACCAACTCGGTTAATTTAGGGGCATTTTAGTCCTTTTAGTATTTTGTTTAATTTTTTTAATTAAATGTAAAAAGCTATTATTTCATATTATATATCAATATTATATCCATATGAGTAAATTATGTTTTTTTAATGCTAATGCAACACTTTAGCAAATCGTGTAAGTGTTGCAAATTCTTCTTTTTTATGAACTTAATATTCACAATAAGTTGTTAAAGTGCTACTTGCAAAATGCTTACGTAACACTTTAACAAATTGGGTAAGTAACACTTTAACAATTTTAACAAGTAGCACTTTAACAAGTAACATTTTAGCAAATTACGTAAATGACACTTCCATGTTAGCATTTCGCACGCAACATTTTAACAACTTGCGGATTGCTGTTTTATAAATTAATAAAAGTGGGTTTGGCAAGTTGCTAAAATGTTACTTGCAAAATCTTAACTATTTCGATCAATTCTATAGAAAAACGGCTATGAAATAAATTAGAAGGGGTCGAAAATAACTATTTTATACAATTTCCATTTCTTGAAAGCAAGTAGATTTGGTTAAACCAGCGTACCGTTGAATTTGTAAATAAAAGTGGATTGTTGTAACTAGGTGTGAGCAGCGGAACCGAATACTCACTTGCGGAACTGGAACTGCCGGTTCCGGAACCGGAACCAATACGAGTGGTTCCGGTTCCTAAAATACATAATTGATCGAGAATGGTTCCGGTTCTCAATTTTTCAGAACCGTTACCGCCGGGACCGGGTACCCGGTATTTTTCAATTAAAAAATAATTAATTTTTTAATACTAAATTTAAATTAAGTCAAGAACTTAGAACTCTAGATTAGATTTTTGGTCCCGCCTCTGCGCCTCATCGACTCATACTCTCAGGCCTGAGGCCTCTCACGGACCGTCTTCAAATCGAATTATAATATGTAATCGTTAAACTTTGAACATTTACAATTATAGTATGTAATTGTTAAACTTTCAACATTTACTATTAGTCTATTAATCATTAAACAATATTTGTAACCATTATTCCGTATAATTTGTATTCTTGTTTATTTATTTAGTGTTTTGTCAATATTTTATTTTTTATTTGTAAATAACAAAATTTTAATATTTTAGGAATCGGATACCCGGAACCGGAACCGGTTCCGGGCGGTTTCGGTTACAAAAATTCAAGAACCGTTCTAACCGGTTCCAATATCTCAAGAACCGCCGGTTCCGGTTCCTGTCAAATAGGGCGGGTACCCGCCTATACTCACCCCTAGTTGTAACTAAAAGTCCATGCCGTGTTGACTTGTTTGACATTTGACCAATAAAAGAAACTTCCTAAAAAAGACTAAACATTACCATGGTGTTTGGTTGCTCATGACATGACCTATTTATTTATGCATTTCCTGTCTCCAAATTTCTATTGTTATTTTCCTTCTTATAACTTGCAATGTATTTTCATTTCCATCCCTATGACCAACTCTGTTAATTCAGGGGCATTCTGGTCTTTTTAGTATTTTATTTACTTTTTATTATTTCAAAAATCCAAAAACAAAATGAGCTATTTTTAGGAACCACAAAAAACGTAGTTTACTCATTTTTATTTGAATAAATTACATTCTTGGTTCATATGGTTTACAAGAAATAACACCTCAAGTCCTGTTTTTTTAACTAATTATGGATTACAATCTTGTAGTATGTATTTTATAATGCATTTGGTCCCTTGTCATTTACGTTCAAGAGTTTTTATGAAGGAAAGGAGAGGAAGGGAAGTAGGGGAAAAGAAAACTGTATTCTCGAGTTCTTTTAAAAGGGTATGAAAAGAAACGGGAAGGGAAAAAATAAAAAAAATTATAACAATTAAAAATATATAAAAAAATTACACATATACCCATCAAAGACCTTCCAGCCTAGTGGTAAAGGCTTGGACATGGCATAGTCGTGAAAATTTATTTTCTTTCTATCTCTTTCCTTCATTTCTTTTCACAATTTAGTACTTTTCCTTCCAAAACTCGAGAACACAACGTTAAAAAAAAGGTGTTGAGATGTTATTTTTGGTAAACCACAGGGACTGAGAATGAAACTTACCTTTTAAATTTGTTGGAAATATGATTTGAAAAGCATGGGCAGGGATTCTGATGGATTGTCTAGGGTTTCTATTTTCAATTTAAATTTGTACACAACATGCCAAAATCTTTGAATTCAAGACTTAAAGAAAATGAACAATTCTCTATTTATATTAAAAATGCGTACATATGCTTGTGCTTTGGAATCACATGCCCTCTACTTCAATTCTAGAAGATAATATCAAAACACATTATTATAGATACATAGATACTACATACACATATATGTATATATAAATTTATATAAGAAAAACTTCAAATATTTTAAAAACCCATGAACCATCTATGTCTAAAAACTTTAAATGTTTTAGGAATCCAAGAACCACCTATTTTAATATAGATGGTTCCTTGATTCCTAAAACTGTTATTTAATTATACAAGCTAGCAAAATGAATTAGTAATTCATAATAAAGATAACCATTCTCCCTCAATTTCAGGAATTGAAGCAAAATCCAGAATTTCCTTGGATAAAGAATGTGTTGCATCCATTGTAGAAGGACCTGAGACCATATCATCTCCTTTCACCATTTGATCGTTTGTGAAATTCATATTAAATAGATCTGATAACAAACACCCCTCCTCCATTGCCATATCTATATCATCAAGATTGAAACATGTTGGATTGTCATTATCTTCATGATAGATCAGTGATGATTGATCAGTAGATTTAGCATTAGCAGGATCTTCTATCTCATCCACGTTGGTTGTTGCAGGTGGTGGGTGTAGGCTGAATTGTGTCTTGGGGCATCTCAAGCCTTTGGGTCTAACCACTTTTATATGAGTTAGGTCGGTCTCATTCACACATTCCTTGTCTTTCCTATTGTTAATATAAGAATCATTATGAAGCTCACACACTTTTTTGGCTAGAGTGCTATTCCAGTAGTTCTTGATTTCATTGTCGGTTCGCCCTGGGAGCCTCTTAGCAATAAGCGACCATCTACACGTATGTATATATGTACAAAAAAAAAGTAGTAGTAGAAGTCAAAATGGGTATATTACAAGCAGATGAGAAGCCTCTCATAGTAGTTAGAACATGATGCACCTGTTACCCAAGAGTTTATGAAGCCTAATGATGAGATCTTCTTCTTCACAAGAAATGTTTCCCCTCTTGACATCTGGTTTCAAGTAATTCAACCATCGCAACCTGCAACTCTTTCCACACCTCTGTAAACCTGCATGGATTCTCATGTTCATCAACATATATGAAAGTTTATTTGAATGGAAACAAACACACATACACACACACATATACACACACACACACACACACACATATATATATATATATATATATATATATACACATACATAGATGTATATATACCTGCTTTGATGGGAAGCTGCCTCCATTTGCCTTCACCATGAAGCTTAATATAGTCACTGAGGATCCTGTCTTCTGAGGCTGTCCATGCCCCTTTATTCAACCATATCTTTGAACAACATGGGCTTTTCCCCATCTTCCTTGATAACCAACAACAATTTCACTAGCTACTTAATTAGTTATAAGTTTTCATGACGAAAAGAAGATGAAAAGATGAGTTTTGAACATGGCTACCATACATACATATAACACATACATATATATAAGGATGATGAGATGGTCAACATAATAGCTTCTAAAGAGGGGTTCCCGTCCCCTTCCTTGTCCCTCATGTATTTAATACATCATGCACTACATGAATGGATGAGAGTTTTTTCTACCATGGAAAAATCAAGTGTCGAAGCAAGTGAACTAAGTAGGAAACTTTTACCCGATAAAGAGATGATGGCCTCCCTTTACCAACGATCTTACTGTGCCTTTTTGGCAACCAAAAATATTTCCCGATAAGTAAAGTTAGTAATTCTTAATCAGTAAGTGAAGGTGGTGATTCTTATCATAAAACCCGCATATACATAGGGGCTGAATCATTTGAAAACTCCAAAATTTGTGAGATCCGTGAGAACTTCTACCTTTGGGTTTTGTTTCACATGATATTTTTTCCATCTAGATATAGTGCTTAATCTATTGATTAACATATATTTGTTTCACAATGTGTTTGTTTCATATGTATTCGGTTAACAATATGAAACTTTTTATGATTATTTTTTATTTCACAAACACGTAAAAGATGTTCACATCGTGAACCAGGTACATGTAAAACGAATATATGTTAATCAATATTCTAAATCATGGTCTTAGATGGAAAAAATCATATGAAATAACACATGATGCACAAGTTCTCAAGGTTATCACAATTTCATGGGTTCTTAAAAAAAGGCTCCCTTATATATATATATATATATATATATATATATATATATATATATATATTTGGAGTTTTGGTTCTTTTGTGGTTTTAGTATTTAAGATTGGGAAAATGTCGTTCAATTGCGATTTAATTCTATAAGTAAGTTGTTGGTGGTTCAAGATCAAAATCTAGCGAATTTATGATCGTTGAGAGGTCCGAGCGACTTCCTGGGTGGCCTAAGCCATGGAAAAAGTCACGCAAGCCACTGGAATGGTGGCAGTGGAAGTGCAGCTCAAGGAGAAGCATACAGAAGGCTCAACGGCTTGTAAGGTGCTTAAACTGTAAGACCTAAAATAGGAGACAATTTAAACCTGTAGAAATAAAGCAGACTAAAGTTGGATCAAATATAATCACCCAACAAAGGGGAAATAATAAAAGAGTTGTAGACGGTAAACAACAACCTACTAGTGTAAATTAATTCTAGATCTAGATTATAAACGGGCATCACTATAATCCTCAAAAAAATAAATGTAACATTAATAATTCTACAAATGACTTCCAAAAAATAGTATCCCAAAAATGCCTCCACCAGTATGCAAACGGTCCACTCAAGCCTTAGGAGCCCCATCGCTAGAGATCATGATATATACATACATATATATATATATTATTTAAGAAAAAGTGTTTGGCTTAACACCTAGTGAGAGCAAACTGTTATTGAAAAAAAACTATAGAACATTAAAAGGGACAATATAGCTTTAATCAAGTCACTTTGGATTATTAGATCATATTTACTCTTGGAAGGGTGTAAAACATCGTAAGATGACGAGGGAGAACCATTTACCATTGGTTGTGATGGAACACAAGAACAAAATCATAAAACTGGTTTTGATTGGATAAAAGATAAAAGAAAATCGATAAAAAGACGAAAATGACTCTCATTTAATGGAATGTTTTCTGTGTTAATCGGGTTAATCGGTCATAATGTTTGGGGTTCTTTTTAATTAAGGGTGGGAAGTTGTGGGGTTAAATGTGATTATGTGCTTAAAATGTTTTTAAAACCCCACCGCCTTATATTTTTTATGCATGTTAATATGAGATATTTTGATATATCTCATTGGGATGATGATTATGAAAAAAAAAAAAGGAAGAGAGCTCCTGTGTGTGTTCTTAAGCCGAGAAAGAAATATGAACCTAAGAAGGAAAGCTAGTAGAAATCGATTATGTGATTATTTTATTTGTTAAATTGCTGCTATTACCTTCATTTGTTTGTAATCATAAGGTGAGTTTTATTTACAAAACATCATTTTCTTGTTTTCTTGGCGAAGAAACCATAAGGTTTCAATTTTGAGTATTTGATGATTATATGCATAATTTTTTGAATTTTGATATGATATTATCATTTGTTTGTAACAAATGTGGCATAATCAGTAGCTGAATATATTAGAATAAGGGTAGAATAATCAAATTCTGGAAAAATGATGATTTTTTGATCATGGGTTATTGTTATCGCATCTTTCGGACGAGAGAATTTGAGGTTCTCGCATCTTTGGGAATTGGGATGAGAGGAGTTAGGTTCTCGCATCTTTAGGACGAGAGGAGTTGGATTGTCTCATATTTGGAACGAGAGGAGTTGGGTTGTCTCATCTGTATTGGTGTGAATAATTGATATTTGTTTGCATGAGATGTTGGAAAGATGTGTTATCTTTTGTATTTGAATATTTGTTATGTATACAGGTTTTGTAGCTTTTGTATACATTTGAGACCGAATGTGTAAATTTATATTTCTTGATATATGAAAATATATGTTTATATACAAATGTAATTATGGGTGTGACATTTTCACCGTCGTTAGAGGAAGAGACCAATTCAAGAAATTCTAGCAAACTGTAATGGTCATCTTGTAATTTCAAAACTAAAAACTACAGGAAAACAAATGTTATTTTTGACAAATCATAAAGACCAAATTTATAGTTTACCCTAAAAACAAACCAAGAAGGACCGGCCCAAATATCTGTAAATATATGGGCTTAAACTATTGGGCTTTGGGCCCAATAACTAGGCCTTCAGTATATGGTCAGTTGGTGGATAGTGCGACATCGGGCTGGTGTTAATTGGCCCAATAGTCCTGGTTACGTAAATGTTGTATTGTGTCTTCTGAACTTGTAATAAAACCGTGCAAGTATTAAATTAACATTTTCAACCACGATTTTGTTTATCTACTTTTCATGAAAATTAAAGAATTGCTCTTGGACTTTAGAAAATTATGTTTTAGTCCCTTCAATTGTAAGTTTTTACATTTTATAACCCTCTATTTTGACTTAAAATCACTATGGGACCCCTCTAATTAAGTTTGTAAGAACATATTTTAACGAGTTTTGGTTAAAAACTTACGGTTTTAACTTCACTTTGAGAAATATAATGCATTTTAGTCCCGCCTGAATAGAGAAAATCAAGAGGGATAAAAAATAACAGTTTTAAACAATTTGCATTTCTTGGAAGCAAGTGGATTTGGTTAAACCAACGTACCACTGAATTTATAACTAAAAATGGATTGTTCTAATTTTTCTAAACTATTCCACTAATAGTTGAAAACACAGACTCGACTTGCTTATAACTTGACCAGGAAAATGAACTCTTTAAAAAGACCAACCGTTAAGGTGTTTGGTTGCTCATGACGTGACTGGACGTACGCATATATGCATTTTTTGTCTCCAAATTTTTTATTGTTATTTTCCTTATAATTTGTAACTTATTTTCGTTTTCGTCTGTAAGACCAACTCGGTTAATTTAGGGACATTTTGGTCTTTTTTAGTATTTTGTTTAATTTTTATTAAACGTAAAAAGCTATTATTTTATATTATATATCAATACTAAATTTATTTGAGTAAATTATGTTTTTTTCTTGTGGTTTTTTAACCATTGCGAATTTCGCCCATGTGGTTATGAAATTGAGGTTTTCGACCAATGATGCATGAAGGTGTAAGGCCTAATGCATTATTTGACATGTCTTCTTTGAGAATGTAAGAGCTTTCATGGATGGGTGATGAAGAAAAAGCTTAATTCATATGTAAATTTGTTGATTGGATTGCTTGACATGTATGCAAAATGTGTATTTGTCCCTTACGTATTTCGTGTGTTCAGCAGAACGTCAAACAAGTCGTTGGAATGCACTTTAATAACTTACACAATCTTCTTTTTCATGAATTTAATATTCTTAGCAAGTTGCTAAAATGTTATTTGCAAAATGCTGACGCAACACTTTAGCAAATTGGACAAGTGTTGCAAAATCTTCTTTTTTATGAACTTAATATTCACAGCAAGTTGTTAAAGTGTTACTTGCAAAATGCTTACGTATAACAAATTGGGTAAGTAGCACTTTAACAACTAACATTTTAGCAAGTTATTTAAATGACATTTCCATGTTAGCATTTCGAAAGCGGCACTTTAACACCTTGCGGATTGTCGTTTTATAAATATTATATTAATAAAAGTGAAATTTGCAAATTGCTAAAATGTTACTTACGAAATCTTAACTATTTCGATCAATTATGTAGAGAAGCGACTATAAAGTAAATTAAAAGGGGGGTCAAAACAACCATTTTATACAATTTTCATTTCTTAAAAACAAGTGGATTTGGTCAAACCAACGTACCGTTGCATTTTTTATTATTAAAAGTGGACTGTTGTAACTAAAAGTCCGTGTTGACTTGTTGTTTGAAACTTGACCAAGAAAAGGAACTCCCTAAAAAAGACTAAACGTTACCATCGTGTTTGGTTGCTCATGACATGACCTATCTATGCATTTTATGTCTCCAATTTTTTATTGTTATTTTCGTTCTTATAACTTGCAATGTATTTTCATTTCCGTCCCTATGACCAACTCTGTTATTATAGGGGCATTTTAGTCTTTTTACTACTTTTATTTAATTTTTGTTATTTCAAAAATCCAAAAACAAAATGAGCTATTTTTAAGAACCACAAAAAAAAAACGTAGTTTACTCATTTTTATTTGAATAAATTACGTTCTTGGTCCCTATGGTTTACAAGGAATAAAACCTCAAAGTCCTGTTTTTTGAACTAATTACGGGTTACAATCTTGTAGCATGTATTTTATAACGCATTTGGTCCCTTGTTGTTTACGTTGTGTTCTCGAATTTTTTTAAAGAGGGCATGAAATAAATAAAGGTATATTTGTAAGAATATCATCTTTTATTTCTTTTCTTTCACGTTCAAAAAATTTATTTTCTTTCAATCTCTTTCCTTCATTCCTTTTCTTTAATTTTTTCCCTTCCAAAATTCGACGTTAAAGAAAAGGAGTTGAGATGTAATTTTTGTAAAACCACAAGGACTGAGAATGAAATTTTCTGTTTTAATTTGTTGGAAATATGATTTAAAAAGCATGGGCAGGGATTCTGATGGATTGTCTAGGGTTTCTATTTTCAATTTAAATTTGTACACAACATGCCAAAATCTTTGAATTCAAGACTTAAAGAAATTGAATAATTCTCCATTTATATTAAAAATGCGTACATATGCTTGTGCTATGGAATCACATGCCCTCTACTTCAATTCTAGAAGATAATATCAAAACACATTATTATAGATACATAGATACAACATACACATATTGTGTATGTATAAATTTATATAAGAAAAACTTCAAATATTTTAAAAACCCATGAACCATTTATGTCTAAAGACTTTAAATGTTTTAGTAATCCAAAAACCACCTATTTTAGTATAGGTGGTTCCTGGGTTCCTAAAACGGTTATTTAATTATACAAGCTAGCTAAATGAATTAGTTACTCACAATAAAGATAGCCATTCTCCCTCAATTTCAGGAATTGAAGCAAAATCCAGAATTTCCTTGGATGAAACATGTGTTGCATCCATTGTAGAAGGACCTGAGACCATATAATCTCTTTTCACCATTTGATCGTTTGTGAAATCTATATTAAATAGATCTGATAACAAACACCCCTCCCCCATCGCCACATCTATATCATGAAGATTGAAACATGATGGATTGTCATTATCTTCATGATAGATCAATGACAATTGATCAATAGATTTAGGGTTAGCAGGATCTTCTATCTCATCAACGTTGGTTGTTGTGGGTGGTGGGTGTGGGCTGAAATATGTCCTAGAGCATCTCACGGCTTTGGGTCTAACCACTTTTGTATGAGTTAGGTCGGTCTCATTCACACATTCCTTGTCTTTCCTATTGTTAACATAAGAATCGTTATGAAGCTCACACACTTTTTTGGCTAGAGTGCTGTTCCAGTAGTTCTTGATTTCGTTGTCGGTTCGCCCTGGGAGCCTCTTAGCAATAAGCGACCATCTACACGTATGTATATATGTACAAAACAAAAAGTAGAAATAGAGGTCAAAATGGGTTTATTGCAAGAAGATGAGAAGCCTCTCATAGTAGTTAAAACATGATGCACCTGTTACCCAAGAGTTTATGAAGTCTAATGATGAGATCTTCTTCCTCACAAGAAATGTTTCCCCTCTTGATATCTGGTTTTAAGTAATTCAACCATCGCAGCCTGCAACTCTTTCCACACCTCTGTAAACCTGGATGGATTCTTATCTTCATCAACAAATATCAAAGTTTATGTGAGCATAAACACACACACATAGATAGTGTATATATACCTGCTTTGATGGGAAGCTGCCTCCATTTGCCTTCACCATGAAGCTTAATGTAGTCACTGAGGATCCTGTCTTCTGAGGCTGTCCATGCCCCTTTATTTAACCCTATCTTTGAACAACATGGGCTTTTCCCCAT